AGGAAACGTTCCGAGCGCCTGTGCATACCCCCAGCGCCACTTGCGGCGGCGTGTGCCTAAGGCACGCGCTATTTCAGCTTCATTATAAATCTGTACCTTCTACTTTTCTTATTTGACCTTCAACTCAAAAACAAATCTACATCACTGTCTCCATAACTGTGAATTCTGGAAAAAAAAATAATACTCCGGAAGTTGAAAATGTCAATCGTTACTTGCCTGCTGTAGCTTATCGTCGATGTCTACCCTACTAATTGTTGTTTCCTCCATCTCGATGCTTCACAGACCAGACTCATATACAGTCAAAATATGTGATGCCCACGAATCAGTTCTTTCTTTGTCAACACAAGACAAAATTTCCAAAACAAACGAAGCTACGACTTTCGATCATCTTCAAATGTTGATACCTGTTTGTTTGTTGCTCTACTCCACTGCCAACCACGCCCTCATAGGTCATAATACAAAAATAATGTACTACCGGTAACGTTTATAATCTACGTGAAGCGCCACGAAATATTTTAATATCAATATTATTTCACCTTCAATTACTATATGTACTATTCATAATATCACAATTAGCACAACTATATCACACGAACAGATTGAGGATATTGAGGATGTTTTTACTTTAAATACCATAATTGTCATTAACAACCTGTATTCTTTGGGTATTCTGAAAAAGTTACCCTAACCACAGTCCCCCAACAGTGTGGGGGAACTGTGCTCTAACTTATAATACACTGTAACTGTGAGCAGAATGGGCAGTAAACCGACTCCAAACGAACATGCCATCTAATGTTTCTGACGCTGTCAGATATCAGATATCTCCGATCTCAGACAATCTCCGATTGATTAGCATTTATTTAATATTTATGTACAACACGTAATAATATGCAAATTATTTCAAGGTGAAAAAACAATCGTATTTTCTAGGTTGTTCACGTTTTGGATACACTGTGTATTCATTTTCACTGTCGTTACTGGGACGAAATCGGCCCTACTACGCAAGCTACTGCGTAAATCTCAGACAACTAATATTACTAGTTTAATTTATTAAGATAAAAATACTCCCAGCACAACAAAGGCATTTCCTTCATCTTTATAAATATTTCTAAATTTCGATGGTGGTTAATTCCCATGAGCCAATCAAAGACGTCTTTTGTAAACGTTCAAGTATCATTCAATCGGCCAATAGGAACCCCTTGTTTCAGTTTGAATTGGGAAGTTTATAAATATTTATAAAAATAAGGGCAATGCCATTGTTTCGCTGTGGGTATAACGAAAAACTATTATCACACTGAAAACCTACTAAATTAAAATGTTGTTTTTATCAATATTATAATTCATATCAATAAATGGTTTTTTTCCATGTCACAGTGTAAAATTTAATTTCTTCATAAAAACCGTATAAAATGCAATTATTCCCATTTCCCATGACATGTCGAAATTGTTTACACAAATCTTCTGGTGAATAACCAATCGCAATGAAAGATAACATATCATTCATTCAATCCGAACTTGAACCTAAACCGAAAACCCCATAGTTTTGAACAACGCCCCCTAGAGGTGCAATACCAAATTATAACTACTGTGCTATATAGTGTACACAACTCAATTTTGATATTCTGACAAATTAGTAATGATTATACTAGACAGTCTTCTTGCTTATACAGTCTAACAACTTATTGGGCAATGGTCTGATTGGTTTATTACATTTGCCATACAAATGTGTACCTTGATCAAGAGGAAATACCCAACGAGCAAACACACAGCGTTGTAATGGCGGCCAGCGTGGAGTGTTGATATTTTCTTGTTCTTCAATCCTTGTCGTTTTATTACATATTTAACCAACATGGGTCGACGGTCAATAAACACCACAAAGAGTGGGAAGTTTATGAACCCCACAGATCAAGCACGTGAGTAATGTATCGATTTTAAATTTACTTATTTTGTCTAACTCCTTCCGCTGTCGATCTTCTGTAGTCTGTTTGTTATTTTTATCTAAATTATGTTAATTATGCTGTGTGGTCGTAAAAAAAGAATTCTTAAGTAATGAGATATCACTCCGAATACATATACAGCGTTTATATAATTAAGTGTGATTCAATGTTGTCAAAACAAGGCACTGAGGCATCCCACCCCACCCTCGTATAGTGAGGTTCGTTCTGTGGGTATCAGGTCGTTTGGACCCCTCGCCCTTTCGACCCCTGGACGATTAGACCCTTCGACGTTTCGACCCTAGGACGATTAGACCCCTCGATGTTTCGACCCCTCGACGATACCCGCTTGGCGCCACAATCCTCACCATTTGAACCCAGCATTATTTGTCAAAAGTTGCAACATTTTACTGGATAAAACTAAGAAGATACCTGACTTTGGCAACAGAATCGCGAATTACGGCGATCCCTCACGGTTGAACCCTGTCGTCACAACCCC